CCCACACTGAGTTATAGAACTCCATGAGGTCTGAAGCCATCTGGGGCCAAAAGGTTTCCCATAATTCTTTGGGGAGACTGTCCGCCCCCGGGGTTTTTTCGTTCTCCATCTGCTTCATTGCTGACCAGATTTATTCTTTAGACAGCGGCCGATCTAGGGTCAATCTTTGCTGATGTGTAAGGGTTTTGCTCATTGGTTCTAGGAATTCGACTATTCCTCGTTCTCTAATGTTTTTCTCTTGATGGGCACACCTGGACGTGAACAAGTCCTTGAAGAAGGATCTCGCAATCCGCATACATTGAGGTGTAGAGCAGGCCACGTCCCTATGTGCCGAGTGCGGGTTGTATAATGCTTCTATCGTTGTTCTGCGCATACGCGCCCGGGCCAGGCTAAATAACTTTTTGTCCATGGAGCCTTCCTTTTGATGCCATGTCAGTCGCCCTCTGATTCGTGCACCCTCCCAGCGTTGTGAGGCAAAAGTTTGAAGACGCTGTTGCAGGACTTGCATCTCTGAATGTTCTTCTGGTTGTGTGTGGTGGTTGCTGTTCGCGTCCTGTTGTTCAAGTTGTTGAAGTCGGAGGTGGATGTTCATTTCCTGCTGATGATTTTTGGCTGGAAGCTGTTTAGAGTACTCTTGACATTTTTTTCCTAGGTAGAAGAGACCGTTATAAAACCATTCTATTTCTTGTGGAATGTGTTGTTTCTGTGTATGCCAAAATGTCCAGCAGTCTTGGATGTAGTTCCGGAATGTTTCGTGCCGCAGGATCGAAACATTGAGTTTGTAGAACTCGGGCCCGTGGTCGGGTTTCTTCCGGAATGACAGGATCCCTGAGCACATTTTGTGATCGAGACCTGGATATGGGCTGGCAGGCAGAATCGCTGCAAGCAGCATAGCCCCTGCCAGATCCTCTGAAAGCAGAATCATGTCGATTCTGGACCGTGACTGGTTCTCAGTCCCGGTCTTGCGTAGGCAGGAAAAGAACCGCGTCTCCGGGTTGAGTCTTCGAAAGGAGTCAAAGACGTTTAGAGAGAGGCTCAGGTCCATTATTATACGCTCGTCCTCCGCCACATATGCAGGGACCGGGGAGGGAATTCTCCATCTGTCCATCCAGCGGTCCGGGGCTGCATTATAGTCTCCTGCTATGATGACCGGAACGCCGTCCGCAATCTGCGTTTTAATCCCCTCAAAGAAAGTTTTTCTCTCGCTCACTGTGTTGGGGGCATAGATACACAGAATGCATATGATCTCCAGCTCCAGGGTGACTAACACTGACACCCATCTGCCCCCTTCCTGGTCAACGGCCCAGTACACCGGATGTGCTCGGGGTTCGGGGGGAAACCAGATGGCCACCCCTGCGCTCCCGGGTCTCGGGGCGTGGGCTATGAAAGCTTTATGTGGCCAGATCATTTTGTGGATACGATTATGTTCTGGGGAGTCTGTCAGGTGGGTCTCCTGGATGCACACGACGTCTGGCCAATTCCTGCCCCCCACCCCTTTCATCAGATCCCATATTGCATTCTTCTTTTCCGGTTTACATGAGGCCAGGCCGTTCACATTCAGGGACCGCAGGTCGAGATCTGCCGCCCTTCGGCATTGATTCCAAACCTGGTCCTTACCATATACCGCTCTGACAGGGTCCATTTCCGTAGTTCTCAATCACTCACCGTCTGGTCCACGACAGTAGGTCCCAATCCCAGTCCGCGGCCCCCACTCGTAGGCCCAGCCTAAGAAGAGAGCACAAGAGCCTTTGGACATCCTGCTCCGTCCATGTCTCGCTGGGTCTAATCCTAACCGCCTGCATATCCAGGAGCAGGGGGGAAGTGTACCATCTCATGCCCGCCTCTTTAACTGGGTCATAGCGGATGAGAATACTTTTTTGCGAGATTCTGCTGGGATCGAATATCCAGGGGGCTGTGGCCTGTGCACCAGGGGGCATAGACTCTGCAATGTGCGAGTCTAGCTGCATTTGTAAGATCCCGGCTGCTGCGTCAGATTTGCAGTGGCCTGCCCAAAAGGAGGACCAGCCTTGCAGTGTGAGTCCTTTGATGTTGCCATTTTCAACCGGTGTCAAGCCAACCTCCCATTTTCCGTCTTTCTTTCGGACCGGGAGCAGCACCATCGCCTCCTGAGATAGCGGTCCCGTGTCCTGGCCCATTTCTATCAGATGTCTCAATTTCCTTCTGCGCACCAGGTCCAGTGGTGTATCCTCGTCCGGGTCCGGGGGGGCCGGGGCCGGCGGCGGGACCGGTGGCTGAAGGACTGGCATAGCCCGCTCCCCCCCATCTGAGGCGTACCGACGTGTCCCGCCTCCTCTGCCGCAACCGAGTGCGATGAGGGGGGGGGCTGAAATCTTGCAAACACAATAGCGGCCACTCTGTGCCACGCCTCCGTCCACCTCGCTAGTTGCATATGCTGCTGATATGTATGGCTTTTTTTTTTTTTTTTTTTTTTTTTTCCCACTCGCGATTTCATCTTCTCCCTTCAACACCTGTTACAGAGCCATTTTCATGAAATTCGAGACTCAGAATATAGGAAACCTGGTCCCTGTCAATCACATTTTGATCAATAATAGTGAAGTATTTATGGAGTATCTTCTGTAATTCTGAGTTAAAGTTGTTAAACCCTCCTAAGCTAGGCTACCAGCCGGAGCGCCCGGGTCACCCTATTTTCCCGGGCGGCCCGGCCGTGCAAGGACCAGGGAAGGTCCCAGCCAAAAAGAGAAAATAAAAAATACATCCCAAAAATCAAAAAAAAAAAAAAAATGCTATGCAGAAAAATAAACTGAACCTGAGTGAGGACGCTGCCCGCTCAGGCCTGCCCTGCCCGGCTGGGCCCAGCCGGTTGGGCCCGGGGGCGCCGCCCGGGTAAACCGGGCAGGACAAAAAACTGCCCAGAATTTTTTTCTTTTTTTTTTGAAACCGGGGTCGTTGTGCGCTCGGTGAGAGGACCC